CGATCCCGTGAAGCCGCTGTGTGTATACTCCGATGGCTGATTTCGTGTTGGGTGTGCGAGTAGAATAACTTCTAAGGGACAGGAAGATTTTCTCGAGAACGGGAACCTGGTACGGAGGCGTAGAAGTTCTCTGATATGAAACGCTGTTATGCTTGCACGTTACAACACCAGGGCCAGTGATGTTTATGGTCACTTGACTTGACATATCCATGAAGATCGCAACAGATATTTGAGTGAACTTTGTCCGCGCGTGTTTACTGTCAACTTTAAGCGGTTTTAGGAGCAAAATGATACTTCACATGTAACCCTTTGCTTAAAATTTTTCTCGAAATTTTTGACTCTGCTCTAAATTTCTGAAGTTATGTAAAAGCTGTCACAGATCTAACTGCATTTTTCCGACAGAAAATTGCTATTATAATGTACTTTGCATAGTGAATTGCAAGCAGCTGTCAACAGACATTCACTTACTGTTGGAATGCTTATAAGTCATTCCAGAACAGAAACTATGTTGCTCCAGTGTCCGTGCATTCTTGACTCTTCATTCATCCTGATTTTCGTTTGCTTGAGGTCACGAATCGCTTCCTGTATCAACATTTTCACTTGCCCGTTAATTTCAACGGACTTTTCGTTCCCTACTTTCTTAAATTTCGACAACGGAAGGTGTTGAAACTCGTCTGAGAGAAAAGAGCAAGATCTTAAAAATGCTTTAAACTTGACTTCTTTCTGGAGTTCTTGGTCGTCACAAGTTTGGATTGGTCGCGATGAAGCTAGTTCGGGCGCAGAAAATGTCTCTCCTCCCTACATGAAGCGACAAGCTTGCTGATAACAGCGGTCTCTACAAATTTTAGAAGAACTTACGTACTTATAAGTGGAGAAAGGAGGAGGAAAGCGATGTTAATCGTTTTTCGTTGGAGAAATCCCGTGACGAATGTCTGAATTTGTTGCCTTTGAGGCTTGAAGTACTTGTCGAGCTCTGAGGTTCTCACGAGCGACTCATTGGCTCCTATCCGCGAACATCACACCGCAGTCTCAGGTTTTAAAGCCACGACTCATAATTGGCGCTGTGTACGTCCAACACATGCTCGGGACTGTGTTTCAGAAATTTCGTGATAGCAAAATTGAGTGTTTTTTTAATATTTCTGTCGCATGTGCGTGTTGTATGTTGCGAGAGAATTGCCCGCTAATCCGTGAAGCAAATGTACCTGCACGCAAAAAGCAATTTTCAGTAAAGTACCCTTAACGCCAGAGTGCCTTGAGTAAGCGTAAACAAGTGAAATAAACTTTTTAAGCCTGTTTTAAAATGAGAAAAGTGTCGCAATTTTCTTAAGTGTGCAGCCCGCGTCTGTTTGGCAATGAACCGGCGTCATTGCTCGTGTTTGTCAATATTATGATCCCGAAGTGCCAGATTTAATTGGAACAACTGTACATATAACTTTTAATAGGAAGGAGGAGCGTTAATTAGAACCCATTTAAAAGACAGTCGATTACCATGAACAAATGAGGGTTGAAGTTGTTCTGAAATCGTTTTATAGAGAACAGAATTTTGAAACAGGATGTGCGCATGGGCTTCACCAGTAATTAATATTCTGCGCGATTGTTTATTATGGGAATGGTTATGACTATTACAATTTATTAATTTTGATTTCCTTCGCTTTGCGTGTTTGTGAGTTATTAATTATACGCGGGGAGTCGCCTTCATAACCGGGTATGTCCTGTTGCCTCTCAGCTGATCACGTAGCCACGATGTATTTAGTATCACCAACGAATTGGCGATACCCAAACTGTGATCAGCTGACCACGAGCATGCGTACTGGCTGATTGGCGCAACTTTTGTTTATGGTGTTCAGGACGTGGCGTGCCGCGGTCTTCGCTGGCAATGCCATCGAGCGACGGACTCCACGCTCTGGTATTGACGACCTCGAGTGACGGAGAACCAGCTCTGATTGCAAAGCAATTAATTCACCACGTGGCAGTTCCCAGTTTGACGTAAGCCGATGTATTTGTATTGCGTTGGTCGGAAAGAAGGAATTTGTTCGTCGCAGCGATCGCTAATTGCGTGCCGTTCGCCTGATGCCGGACCTCACTTCGTCACAACTAAGCACATTGCAAAGGTGTACTCTTTGGAGTACCCTGACGTTCTCAGCGTGTTCTATGCTCCATGTGATCTGAGGTGGATGTGTGCCAACAACGACCTAAGGTTAATATTGCAACCAGGAAGGTGGAGACACGAGGGAGAGGTAGCTCGCGGGTTAAAGCCACTCGAGCAAGGGCAGTGCCTCAGGGGTTAAATAACAGTGGTTTGGATTAGGCATTTTATTATTTGTTTCTGGGATAAGTTATTCGAAAACTGCTTTTGACGGAATCGAACTTGCACTTGTGTTAGTAAAAGCTGTTAATTTGTATCGAAGTAAAAGTTGCCGTGATCGGATGTCACCAACACCAATTCTTGTCACTAGGCGCGTCTTTCATTCATTTTAGTAGCAGCAACAGGTCTGAAGTTTGTTTCAGTGCAGGGACGAGGGGCATATTTTTATCGGTCGATTTGTGCGTTGCCGTCCAACTGGTGAACGAAGCCGAACAAGCGGACATCAGACCCCAAGGTAGCTGCTGGTATGGGCGGAAGTTGATGTGGGAAAGAAACTCCACATATTTCTTATTTCAGTATTATGCTGAAGACGGTAATTAGCCTATCAAGGTCAGAGGCCACCTCACGCAGTAAACCGCCAGGTCTGAGGCCACACTGCAGTTCGTCCCTGTACGCCAGGAGATAACCGCTGCTGTTTCTCCTGTGCGTATTACTGAGGTGTGGGACCAGTAATTTCACTTCATCCCTGAAGGTGGAAGCAGTATGTTCTTCCGAAACATTGGTCTGTATCTCACATGGAGTCAGAATCCAGATGACC